AGGGACAGGGGAGAGAGGGGGGGAGAAGGATGGAGGGAGAGAAGGAGAGAGGGAGAGAGGGAATATAAGCTAGTTTTGAAAAGCAAAACTCATCACAAAACGTTTTGCGAAAACCAGCCTCAAGCAAGGACAGTAAATGAATGGCAGAATCGCCTTGAAAAGCCAAGTGTTGTGAACTTTGTTCCATTTGTTGAGGGAGGAGGGAGGACGGAGGCGGAATGATATTTGTAATAGCCGGGTGACTTCACTACGCTACACAACTGACATGCGCAGTATGCTTTTTTTTTTATCATTGACCGGAGAGACGACTACGCTAGAAATCAATGGCTGAGCTGAAACCTCAGGGCATTCTCACACAAGGACTTCTTGGACTGCATCTGGTCGTTATTACCATCAGATGTGTCCAGGGAAATCCTCGTTGTGAAGGATGTTATTAACAAGGTAGCAGTGGATCAATTTATAGCCCGTTTACAGGCATTGCCACACAACCTTTTTTTTTTTACCAATGATAAATCCCCCTTCTTTGCCAACCAACTCCTCCTCCTTTTCTCCCCCTCTCTTATTCAAACGATAAATAATAATAATGATGATGAATGGTTGAACCAGAATCAATGTCCGAATACCTCTTCTACTGCCAGCACAACAAGAGGTCCACCATAGCCATGGCTGCCCTCCTCTCTCTTCTTCATCCAGGCCTAGGCTATGGCGGACTACTAAGGGTCTTGCCCTGACGTGCCTAAGACAATGCAAAGCAGCTATGTCTTCTTCCTCTCAGGCCACCATGCCTGACACTAACAACCTTCTTGATGCAGCGCCACCCCAATTGGGGCCTTCCAGATGTAGCGCCTACTAAGGTGATGAAGATGGCATCCACCATAGCCAGGTAAGTCCCTCTGGCGCTCCCCTCGTAGTCCCCTTCTTCATCCTCCTTCCTCCTGGCGCTGCCCACCATAGCCAGGATGGGCGCCCAGGCTCTTCCCCCAGTGCTGCTCTACACTAGCGCTGCTTCACCCAGCGCTCCAGCAGTGTGACCTCAAAGCTGCACGCAGCAAATGAGGCTGAGCCTTTCGCTCAGCCTGGAGATGTAGTGGCTCACCAGCCAACCTCTTGGGCGGTGACTTCCAGGCCACACGGCCTCCAAGCAACCGGTACCTTCTCCCTTTCAGAGGGAAACATCATTGCAGACTCTGATATCGTCCACGCAGGCCCTAAACTCAGACTACTTTGACTGGTACCCACCTAGACCTAGCCTACTGGCTACTGGGCCTCTAAAAATACAAACTTCGAGTCTTCTTCTGCTCGGCCTACCGCTACTCAAATACCTACGGGCCTACACTACCACTACTCGAGTATGCCCTTAGCTACCCCTTCGGCCACTTGAGCGTTTTACACCGCTGCAACCCCAAAGACAAGGCCACAGGTAAGTACCGGCCCTGCGGGCCTCCCACACAAACAAGTGCCCTGGTGGGCCACACACACTCAGGCCGACAACCACTCAGACAGGCACTCAGACCAGCAAACACACACACACACACAGACTTAGAAAGTCTCAGCAAAAAGCGGGAATCTCAGCGAGGCATTCATTCCAGCGTCAAAACTCAGAAATCAGCAACAATGTTCTCAGTCTGCGTTTTGGCAGGTCCTTACAATTGTTGGCTTAGTAACGAATTTCGGAGTGACCCTCGGCCAAAGGTTCTTTGATTTTTATTTTTTGTAATCTCTTTTAATATTTATAACAGGTCCTTATGGTCCTGGCTCCATCCATATCCATTCTGGGGAGCGTCAGTCCGGTTCCTTTCCACTGGCAAGTCCAGAATTGA